GTTCGTGCTCCTTGCAGGGAGCTCGGGTTCTCAGTAGGGAGCTTGGGTTCTTAATAGGGAGCTCGGACTCCCAGTAGGGAGCTCGGACTCTTGGTAGGGAGCTCGGGCTCCTATTAGAGCGGTCTGGTGGAGTTCGGGCTCAGTAGTGAGCTTGGACTTACTTTCGGTGCTCGTTTCAGGCGCTCTACTGTCCCGAGTTACTTGCTTTTGCCACGTGTCTGGTGATTGCGAGGTCGGGCCAAATTCCCCTTCATCAATAACCATCTTTCTGAATATCCTATTGCAAGGAACTCAAGAATTGTGTGATAAAAGCTCCCTGTCCAATTTGGAGTTGGCAAATTCAGGGTATAGTTTATAATTCCGTTTTGACCTTTAGCATTGTTTTGGATGTGGAGTAATTTCTTTTTGCTTCAATATTTTCTACATGACTACATGTCTTGTATTTTTGGGAAGATTTTCTCCTCATCATTCTCATCTTTGATATATGCTCATTACTTAACAGAAATAACAAGGAGGAGGAGAACAACTGCAACATCAACAATAAAGTAGATGGATAAAGGAAGATAAAGTTCTATCATGAAATAGAAGATCAGGACTCAAACATAGCAATGGCGATCTCAATATTCTGATTTTAAATTGACTGCAGCCCAGAAATAAAAGCAACTGGATAAACACATTCATCCAAATAAGGAACTCTTTCTCAAACATCCAACCAAGAGCCCAAAGCATACAGGTAAAGGATGCATCTACTAATATCCTTGAATTTGGCATATTCTTCGGCTGGGGTTATAACATAAACTGAGCATTTACTGCTACATGAAAGAAATTCATGTGACATCAGTCTAAAACTTAGCATTAATCATACAACTGTGATAAGATCCCAAAAATATTCCAAGCCACTGAATAAGTAACAATTGTGTACTGTATAGGTTTCAAAACAATAATAGCAGAATAATATCGTATAGAAAGGTTAAATAAAAAAATTAAAAACGGGAAGGAGCTATGATACCATAAGTTGGGGAGACCAGAGAGAGATCTCAAAAAATGGTCCTAAAATGCATTGCAGGAAATGAGACTGTTAACATGTGGTAGAACATCATCGGCCCGGAGTTTTCAATCTTTCGATTGAAAAGGTTATCTTACAAAAACGTAAAACTGGAAGAGAAAGAGAAAGATAATACCTGAGTGTGTCCTCTGTTCTGAGATGAGTTCGAACCTGTGAGAGAAAGAGAATACACAGTGAGAAAAGAAGAGAAAGAGCAATAGAGAGAGAAGGATTGGAAGAGAAAGGGGTGACCAGACGGTGGTGGGGTGCTAATCGGCAGTGCTCGACTGTGAGATAGAGAAGATCAAACGGTGGTGGAGGGTGCTAGCCGGCGGTGCTCGACTATGAGAGGGAGAGAGGTTCAGAAGAGACGAAGAGCCGTTGTGTTTTTACACCGTCATTGCTTTGATCTAATTTCACATCGAAAACTGGACAGATCTTCGGTGTATTTTTACACCCCATCCAAACGGCCACAAAACTGGACCGGAGTGTAAAAATACACCGAACCGGGGTTCACATGAAGCATGAACCTTCCAATAAAATTGTAACACGTCGGAAATTTAATCGGTTGTGTTCAGCCGTTAGTTGAATAAATTCAGTTAAACCACTCACAAAAAGACAAAAAAAATCAAAAAAAAAAAAAAGATTTCTTTCATTCGAACTCCCTCCTATTTCGAGTCTTCCTCTCCTCCAAGCCCACCCCACCTGCCACTCATCACACACCGGCGTTCGTGACTGTAGAATGACGGCAAAAACTCTGACATGTAATCTACAATCTCTCCAACGACTATTTCTTCTTCTTTCAAAACCTCATGTTATTTTTGTTCGTTTCTTCTTAATAGATCGAATAACCCTTAGCATCTCACCGGCGGTCATCAGTCCTTAAAACAAATTAAGGTAATCTCCTCAAGCCCAAACCCCTATCGTCTTTTTCTTTTCTATTAAACAACCTCCGAGTAATCGAATAACATAAATTCATAGCTTCAAGAGCTCCAACCGAAAATAGGATAATAGGGATGTTTAATCTACTGAAACAGGGGTTAGGGCTTGGGGAGATTACCTTTGTTCCGAGGGCTGATAACAGCCGGTGTGAGTTGCAAAGGGTTCTTCGATCTGTTAAGAAGAAACGAGCAAAAATAACGTGAGGTTTCGAAGAAGAAGAAGAAGAAAAAGAAAAATAGTCGTTGGAGAGACTGTAGATTGCCTACTTGAATTTTTGCCGCCGTTCTACAGTCATGGACACTGGTGTGTGGTGAGTGGCCGGTGGGGTGCTTCCCTGGGTTAGGGCTCGGAGGAGAGGAAGAATCAAAATAGGAGTTCGAATGAAATAAATTTGGGTCTTTTGTCTTTTTCTGTGGGTGGTTCAACCGGGTTTGTTCAGCTAACGGCTGAACACCCATTAACGTTCCCACCGATTCAAATTTCCGACGTGTTACAATTTTATTGGCAGGTTCACCGTTCACGCTTCCCGTAAACCCACATTCGTCGTATTTTCCACTCTCCAGATAAACATCTGGTTGGAGGACTTTAGGAGAGCTTCGCATGGCTGCCACGCCTGGTCCTCTGGACCGTCGGCTCCAGATTTCTCCATAGCTCAACAGAGACATGCAATCCCAGAAACCATCAATAAGGTTATTTTCATCTAGAGAGGGTAAAGAGTCGGAAGTCTGTAATAAGAGTAACTGTTTGCAGTGGAAACTTGTGCAAAGCATTGAACCGTCCGATCCTGTTAGCCTCAGCATCTGGTTCATAATTCAGAAAAAGTACTGTATCATGGTTGACATCTGCCGGTATAGGGCCGGCCTGTAGGCCAGTAAGTAAGCTTCAATGACGAACATATGGATTATGGAAGAAAGCGACTGGCAGAGCTGGAAGCATCATGGTTTCATGGACGACCCAGGTAAATGCACCGCATGATTAGTGATTACAAACGGAGAAGAATCTTTACTTTCCAATTCAATCAAGCCCATGTTCTTACCTTTCCCAGATTCCGCTGCTTTAGAAAGTCTTGATATTGTTCTGTCATCTTGCTCCACTTGAAGCTTGGAATCTGTTTTGCTCTTGACCATTTTGGAGGGGTCATGGTCTGGTATGCTTGACTTCTTCTTTCCAAGACTCTCCATCTAGGTCGTCCTTTAATCCCAGAGGTATTCTCTTTTTAGGAAGAATTTCCTTTTGGGTATTAGTTTAATTGCGCAAGAGAGTTGCTTTTCATATCCTGAGGCCACAATTTTCAGTTGCAGTTGCTTTTTTCCCCTTTCTTTTTATCTGTAATGGTAGAGCCGAAAATTCAGTGAGGCCGATAGACTTTTTGTTCTTTGTGTGGATTTATGCTGTAGGCAATTTTTGGATTTTGTTCTGGAAGCTGTGTGACTTTGCATATATTCCTGAACCTACACAGCTCCAGATCGATCCTTTCTGCTTGTATATGAGCTTTTCTTAACTGGGTGTGAGTGAACTTGTAGAGATTAGCCTTAAACTTTCCCGAGGAGATTATCGAATTGTTAGGATTATAGAGATTATCAATCCAAGATGGGAATCAAGCTTAAACTGATATCAGTCGTTTCATGAATTCACATGAAGATCCATTGAAAGAGGGATGAACATGGATGATGGAGAGGTAGAAGTGTCAGATCAGGTTTTGCTGCCGGATATTTATGCGGCTGGTGATATCCAAGGATCGACTTCTGTAGACAATTTTCTTGACGAGTTTTCGAAGATCACTCGGACATGTACTCACACTCACACCTGTAACCCTCCTGGCCATGATGCAGCACACACTCACACTTGTTTCCACACACATACCCAAGTCTTTGCATCTGAGGAAGATGACACGCCAAATCACAAACAACAGTCCGTTACAAAATCTAGGAGGCCTTCAGGAAACAGGGAAGCGGTACGGAAATATCGAGAGAAGAAGAAGGCACAGACAGCGTACTTGGAAGAGGAAGTCAAAAAGCTACGCCTCCTGAACCAGCAACTGATCAGGAAATTACAGGGGCAGGCAATACTTGAAACTGAGGTTCTCAGGCTGAAGACTCTGTTGATTGATCTTAGGGGAAAGATTGACAATGAATTGGGTGTTTTTCCTTACCAAAAGCAGTGTAATTCCACTACTAGTTTTAGAAAGGGTGATTGTAGCATCCAATCTGCAAGTGGAGGGATTGGCCTACGGTGTGAGACTGACATTCCATGCCTTCACCCACACATAGGGCCATCTCTAGAAGCTGGAATTGGTGGAAACACAAAAATGGTTGTCAATTGGGAAGGAAGTTGCCAACCTGCAGTTGTCAACTGTCAAGCAAACCTAAATGCATCTGTCACACAAAACATGGCAAATGGTGAAGCACATCCTAATTGCTTGATGCCAGACACCTTGGACTCATTGGGGACCATGGTCTCATCTAAATCTCAAGCTGAATAACCAGAGGGAGGATCTTAGTTGTAAGTTGATTATGCTGCCTACCAAGTACCAAGCTCACTATCTTGTGGTTGCTTTTGTATTTTTGCTGACATTGGTGAACTTACAAATAGATTTCTCCATTGTATAATATATGATAAGTGGTAACTTGTAGCACCTAAAAGTTAAGTTCAACATAAAATACAGAAAGATCCTTCATCTAGTTAGTTAATAGAACTTTGTACTTGGGTGAGAAAGCTCTCCTTTCTTACATGTTGAACTGGCTTTTAAGGCAGCCTGGCTACCTGTAATGTACATAAAACCATCTTTTTTGTTCTAGATAGATGTAAATGAAAATATAGAGTACAATCTTTTTATGATTCTTGAGTCATAGAAACCCTTCTGGACAATTTCCGAGGTAGCATTGATGGAAATGAAGTCCTCAAGACAGCCTGGAGGTTTATCATATACATAAAACCATTTATTCTAGATAGCTGTAAATGAAATACAGAGTACAATCTTATGATTCTTGAGTTATGGAAACCCTTCAGGATATTATATAAAATAAAGTCCTCAAGTCTATATTTCTCATAAGAGATGATGCACATATTTTCTAATAGCTGATGAGGGAGGAGCAAATGCCAAAGGTTAGGTCCATATCCAGTGATCCAGTCCACCCCTTCCAAGACCCCAGATAGCTAAGACCAACATTGGGTAATGACCATTTTCTGATTAGGGAGGAGCAAGGATCTTCTCTGACTCTGTCATGTAGATAAAGTTGTCAAACTAGCAGAAAATATCTTGCCGATAATCCTGGTCTGCTTGAATTACCTTCCCAGAAAATAGAAGATGTCAGGCAACCCATGGTCCTTTAAACCTTCCTACTGGCTGCCACCAATACACAATACAATGCTTAACCAGCCTCACTTCTAGAAATCATATATTTCCCTAGATGTAGATGATAGTATGATACATATGCTTAAGCCACCTCATCTCTGTTCATTTCTTCTTTCCAGTTCATTTGATGGTCCTTTCTATGTTGATCCTATTTCGAATGCAGCTACAGTAACCCGAACCAGGAGAGAAGGAAGAAAAAGATGAAGAAGAAGAAGAAGAAAAGAGAAAGAGAGAACAGGAGGGTTTAGTCGAAACTCATTGATTCATTATTCATTCGACCCTCTAATGTTTATTAGGTGCTAATAACATTCACAAAGACTAAACTGCCCTTACTTAAGTGTGGGGCAGAGTATCTCTAATAAAATTGCCACATAAGCAAAGTACTTAACAAACATGAGATGACTAAACTACCCCTATTCGGCTCACTTTAACACTCCCCTCAAGCTGGAGAATATATGTCATATAATCCCAGCTTATTACATAGATAGTTCACTTTCCCTGAGCTTAGAGCTTTTGTAAACAAATCTGTCCATTGATCATTCGAGCCCACATGTTCTGTGTTTATCTCTCCAGCAAGAACCTTCTCCCTCACAAAGTGGCAATCAACCTCTATRTGCTTTGTTCTCTCATGAAATACAGGATTGGATGAGATATGGAATGCAGCTTGTTTGTCACAATACAGTCTCATAGGTTTATCCATGTGAAGCCCAATTTCTTGTAGAAGATTCCTCAACCACACTAACTCACAAGTAGTATGTGCCATGGCCCTATACTCAGCTTCAGCACTACTTCTGGCCACAACTATCTACTTTTTACTCTTCCACGTCACAAGATTTCCTCCAAGGAATGTGCAATAGCCTGTAGTAGATCTTCTATCATTCACTGAGCCTGCCCAGTTTGCATCTATATACCCCACTACTTCAAGTTTTCCTCCTGGTTTATACAATAGTCCACGGCCTAGAGCTCCTTTTAGATACCTTACAATTCTAATAACTGCATCCCAGTGAGGTATACGAGGGTTCTGCATGAATTGACTCACCACATTGACTGCAAAAGATATGTCAGGTCTCGTGATAGTCAGATAGTTCAGCTTCCCCACTAGTCGTCTATACCTTCTAGGATCTTCAAATACTTCTCCTGTATCACTGCTCAACTTAACATTTGGTTCCATAGGGGTCTCAGCAGGTTTTGCACCTAACAATCATGTTTCTTCCAATAGATCAAGAACATATTTCCTTTGGCACAGATTTACACCTTGTTTTGACCTGGCAACTTCTATTCCCAAGAAATAYWTYAATRTTCCRAGATCTTTTGTTTGGAAATGATTTTGCAGAAATACATTTAGTTTGCCAATCTCCAATTTATCACTACCAGTAATGACAATATCATCCACATAGACCACTAATAAAATCTTCCCAGCTTCTGAGTCATAGTTGAACACTGAGTGATCAACCTGGCATTGCTTCATTCCAAAACTTTTCACCACTTCACTGAACTTTCCGAACCAAGCACGCGGCGATTGTTTCAACCCATAAATTGCCTTCTTCAATCTGCA